TTTCATCTATCAATTCATTCACCTGTTCATCTACCTCTTTATTCACCCTTTTGTCCACTATGTTGTCCATCTCTTTACGATTCTTTCTATCCAATAAATAAACCTCAAGAGTATCTATTCTTATCTCGCAATGCATTTGAAAACCTGCTTTCCAAATATCTTAGGCAAGTTAGCCAATAGGCAACGTAAAACCTTTATTATACATGAGGATTTTGATTTCTGCATTAAGGTTTTACAAGATCCAGCAAATACAACAATCAGAAATGCAAAGGATCATTATTGGGCAAAAAAACATTTGCTATACGTGATCTTGGAATGCCAATGAACCCTATAATTCAACTTATTAAAGCTAATTCAAACTTACCTGTGTGTCCTGTTGACAAAATATATAAAGTATTGTGCAACTTACATCAAGAGGTACTAAAACATGTTGGCTCATCGAAACTCTGGGACGTGGTATGTAATCTTTATAATATTGTAATTACTGTGATATGTTTATCATTTAAATTTTATATATATATATATACGTACATAGGTTTCAGAATTGTTATATTCCACAATCTTTTGTAAAGGAATTTGTAAGAAATTGCACAACATGTGCAACGTAAAAAAATTTCCAAATCTGGTAGCTGCAAAGCCAATAATCTCAAATGCCTTTCTTAGTAGATTTAATTTCTATAACCAGCATTCCTGATGTTGATTATCATTACATATGCTATATTCGCGATCATTTCACACAGTATTCGTGGGCTCGGGCTCTAACTAGCAAGTGGCCAATTGAAGTGGCCATATTTCTTTTTGATGTTTTTGTTTGCTTTGGTGCCCTGATTATTCTTTAGACCGATAATAGTTGTGAGTTTACTGCGGAAATAATCTACGAATTATTAACTATATAACCTGATGTTCATATTATTAATAGTCACCCGAGGCATCTACAGAGCCAAGGGCGACATTCTTCAACAAAAAGTGTCTAAGTAGATAGAAGATATGCAGAGAAAAGATTGGGCACGTGCTGTGCCATTGTGTTGTTGTATGTAATTTATTTTCATTAGAATAAATCTGTTTGTAACAGTCTGTTATACATATGACAATTTACTTAGTATATCCAACAAAAATACATGTAGTCAAAACCGTTAATAATTTAATAAATACAATTTTCGATTTAGATGCTATGAATATACAGACATTGCGACAAATTAAAAATAGCCCATATTCATTAATATTTGGTCAAAACCCTTTACACCACTTTTCATTATTAAAAGAGATCAAAGAGCAACGTATTAATAATGAAGACGAATTACCTGATAATTGGTTTGAACCTTCAGAGCCGCAGGATGATTTCGATCAATAAGAAATTGTAGAATCGCTTTTAGGAGCCGCAGCTTTGAATGTGGAGGTATTTTTTTTTTATAAAATAATTTTTTTTTTTTTTTAATTTAAAATAAAATTGTTTTAGAAGCAACAATTACTGAAACAGATTACTGAAGAAGCGAATGAAACAAGGGATAGAGAAATGAATGAAATAGTAAACGTGAATAAAGAGATGGACAACATAGTGGACAAAAGGGTGAATAAAGAGGTAGATGAACAGGTGAATGAATTGATAGATGAAA